TGTAGTAATTTTACGACAATCATTTCTAACCAATCTAGGTGACAGCCAAGGGTCAATATGACAAATGTAAATAATTCAGTCAAATGTCAAAGCACATACTTTCAAGTTACTTACCAACACCCCACACCAAATGCCAGAGCCAACAGAATCAGCAATTGCAGCTTGTATCACAATGCACACAATACCAAAGACTATAGACAACACCCCTAAGACGATCTGTGACATTGAGAGAAAGATCAGTGCACGGCTGGCAAACAGTGGACGTGCATTGCTGGTGTTCATCCTCCTTGGAGGACCAAGTGCTGACTGGTTTGACTGCATTGCACCTATCAGTGAAAGTAGTAACAATGCTGTAAATAAAGGTCAATGTATCCTGCCAAAATATGTACATTCGTCTGGTACACTGAAAGTACTGATAACTCATCCTAATAGGGACTCAAATCTTTGTTTATCATTCTATACATCAACTTACACTTTCTGCAACGTCTTTTCCATTCTAATCATGACTTAGTACAGTGAATTATATTCTTGTGATTGATATAAAATTGTATTCCAACATCTTAATAGTGAGTCTAGCACGCTTAACAAGCATCCGTTGTTATATTCAACTTTTTCCGTATTCAAAGTGATTGCGTATTGGGGTCAGCTACACTACACCAGAAGTAGGGTCCTACCAGCAGTGTTCGAGGTCTAATTATAGTATATTTTTACAGACTTATCGAAAGCGGAAGACTTACCCTTGTGCCTGGGGCGAGTAACTCTAATATGAAAGGTATTATATCGGTAGGCCTATCGGGCACACAAATCGCTGGACGCATTCCAGTCACCGATAAACAGGAAGTGTCAGCCGTCTCAACTAGCGCATTTTTAAATAACATCGGCAAAGAGTCATCGTAAGGCCAAGCACGAAATGATGTTCTTAAAACATGCAAACGAGCACAGCAGCTAAATTTCATGGATAGCATTTTTTCTTTTTTTTTTTTTTTTCAAAATCCACAGTGTAATTTACTTAAGGGCATAAAAACAACTGCATAAAGTTTTTTCAGGGGTCACATTCTAATTATCTCTCACTTTCCAAACCATTGCAATACCCTGTACATTAAAAAAAATAAGGTGAGAAAAAATTCTAATTTACTTACAATTAAGGCTGGCGCGCTCGTTAAACAACGTATCAATTTTCAATTTTCTCTGGCTAGTCCCAAATTTTCGGCAGGCGATTTCAGTTTTCTCTCTCTCTCTCTCTCTCTCTCTCTCTCTCTCTCTCTCTCTCTTTTTAGAAATTTTCATTAGTATAAGTCTTATCTAGTATAACAGTCCATTAATCTCAGTCACACTAGAAATACAAACAAAATTCCAAATATTTTAAAAGACTTTTCTTTCCTCAGCCTTGCCCCGAAGGCGATGCCTGAAAATGGCTGTTGATCCGTAACAGGGTTATTTTGCCCCCCCCCACCACCCCCCACCCCCACACCCCCACCCCCCTGGCGAGGGGTTCGGGGCCCGCTGANGTTCCTAAAAGGGTTTTTTTTCCCCCCCCCCCCCCCCCCCCATAAGATTCATGAATAAACATCGGTCGAAAAATATTGAACATGTTATATATTTTAAGATATTAGCACTATGTGCATGAGCATGAAGCGACAGGGCAACATAACATGAGTAACATTGAATGTTTGAGACCAAAGGATTAGTCTGATAGATTTGGGAGGCAGTAAACATTGTTTTAGTAGTCAAACTTGAATTTTATATATATATATATATATATATATATATATATATATATATATATATATATATATATATATATATATATCTTAAAATCACTCTTATCTATGGACTTAAATAAATTATATATAATGTAAAGTCTACTGAGCATTTTATGGATTTTAGGCTTAAAGGTATAATAACTCTTCGTTTTGACCAAAAAATGAATTTTCCTGGAGTAAACAACAATTTTCCCATACTTACCAATGGTTAATGGATCCTTTTTTACATTCAAAGTTAGTCCCTGGTTTTTTTCTAAAAAGTTTGTTTTTTTGTTAAAATCTCTTAAAAGATTATAACAGAGTACAGCCATCAATGGAGGTCACGTGATCTGAAGACAAGTTCAGATATCAGAATAATAGCTATAATTGCTGTTTTTGTGGTAAAACAGAATTTATTATATTTCTATGAGTTGTTCACAATGTTTTTATTGTGAAATATAGATATCGTACGAAGAGTTATTATCCCTTTAATATAAATATATTATTCTTATATTATTCTTTAACATACTCGGTGCAGCCATCAAGGAAGTAAAGTGTGTACATTGAATTAAGATATGTGAAACCAATTTTTTTTTATCAAATTTACAGACAAAAGGTAGATTGCTGATATAAAGAAAACAGGCTGAATTAAAACAAACATGAAGACCAATATTTACTTCATAAACTTTCTCACGCATATAGTGCTGCTAGAATTCTAAAGGTGTGTTTGAAGACTTTGAAATGCTTTGAACTACGGGAAGAAAATATTTACGAATCATTCATAAATTGATTTTTAATCTATTTATTGACTTAATTTTGTATGTATTCATTTATTTATCAATGTACTTTCATTCAGACCTTATTCATGGTAATGTATGACCCAATCCAAATACATGTATAGTTTTACGTGTTTAAAAAGATACATCAATTAAACCATCAAAGTGAAAAAGAAACACAGATTTGACCGGAGCTGCACCTACGGTTATATAGTAAGTCTTTGGTGAAGTATTGAGGGAAATTACACACCGAATGCTGAAGAATTTTGTACCCTTAATGCGACCTCGAAAATGAAATTCTGGATATGAAATTCTGGATATTCTTTTTAAAAAGTTTAATGTTAAAGGAAATCTGAACGCTAAAGGGAACAAGCGATTTGCAACAAAATCTCACAGGTAAATTGAACAAATGAAATTAAACATGATATATACGGGAAATAATTCAAAATGAGATGATACCGCTGTTAAATGCGCCCCCCCTTTAATACTAGAAGCTAAAATATGAAGACAACGCCCATGTGACAACGGAATGCTCGAATAGCACTTAAGTCAATAATTTTCACCCAAATTCTGCACATTAACCTGGCAAGGGCAACGCAGTCTGCCGCCCTTCAATAACGCATTGGTTAAATCAATTAGACGAGTCGCTTAATTACTCAATTTGAAGACCCCTGTTTGCATATTTATTGGAACTGAAACCACATAATTAGAAAAGAATTGCAATGAAAAGGCGAAACATGGAGCCATTCGGCTTAATGTCGTTATTTAATGTACAATTAACAAATTCAGTAAGCAGTTCTTCATTAAAAAGTCGGTTTTAAACACCTGTTAGTAAGTCAATTGTCTAGACGGGTTTGGAAATCTGGTGGTTAAGCATTGAACGCTTCGGTGCACTATTAATAAAGTCTAAAAGCATCGAAATCTCCTCCGCGCACATCCTGAAGTATGACTAATGTCACAATACTGAGTCATATGCGAGGGGTTTAATATCCTCCAAAGAAAGTGCATTGGGTAGCTCTCGTGTTGGGTCACATCAGAATGTATGAGCCCGCTGTCTGTCATCAACAACACGTCTATTACTTGTGAAATAGTCGTTCCAGATAAAGAAATAACAGTTCAATATATCTAGCATAAATATCCTGCACGTCTGGTCAATAAACCTGTTTCTCTCTAAGGCCTTATGTATTCTTTGAAGAGGAATTCAAGCTGGAATTGAAAAAGAGACAGAGAAATTTACATCACACACTGAGAAACTGATAAGCATAAAATTGTTTGCATTTTCTTCCCTCTAACTAATCAATATTTGATGTCTTAAAAATCGAAAAATGAAATGTGACTTTAAAGATAATAAATGGTCTATTAGGAAATGCTCACCTGGTCCACATTTCCAGTGAGAGAAGATGTGGGTGCCCCTTGCTCAGTATCTTGATAGCAGTTCAAGCCAACAACCCATGCGGCCTCATTGCTCAACAAATCACCTAGAGTTATGCAATATTTTTGCAATCAAACTTCACTTTGTAACTGAGCATCGTGGCAAACAATATGAACAGCAGCAGAAAATGTCAGGACTCGAAAATTAGAACACTTGCTCCCAAACGATTTTCAGAAAAGACCGTTGTTTTCCTAAATCTTTTAAAGTCATGTAAGTGTAAAACATGAATAAATAAATAATAAATATTAAATATATAAAAGAAAACAAAGGGAAGAACATTATTTCAGGTGTATATTTATTACAGCAAATGGTTATTCAGTTATTAATCTTACCGTCTGCAGGGACCTCAGCGGCCAAAGAACCGTCAAGGTCCAGTGAAAGGATGGCGCCATTGTACGAAGCACGGATGTTGTGCCACTCACCCTGGTAAGCTCCGCCCTGAAGCCAACAAAAACGTTGTGTTTGAGCAGCCGATATCCCACTTTGAGCATACTTATTTAGGGTATTTCATACAAATAAGCAACGAACTTCAAATACATATGTACTTATTTATGTTATTTGCTATTGAATCATATAATCTATTTTTACGTATCTCAAAGCACGTTGTGTCAAAGCAGAATGGTACCAGACCACAATGGTCTGACTTACCAACCGTCCGCTTGCCGAGAAAGTCCCGTTGTCTGTCACCATGTTTACAACTACCTCTCCATCCTGGACGCTCAACTCAAAGGTAGGGGCGATGTTACACTTGGCATTGTTGACCAAAGCCACTTTTCTTTGATTACTGACCACGGGATCCACATTGACCCACAGAGCGACACTAAAAGGTGCCCTTGGGCTGTTTTGTTTGAAAAGGGGAAGCTCGATGTGCCCTGAAAAAGTCGGTTCATTGTTGTTCGGTCAAAACATCAACGTAAGGTGCCCTGATTTTTACAGACAGACTTAAGACATAATATAGAGTATTAGGTATGAAATAAAGAAAACTAATACGCTCATCTATCTAATGTTTAACAGTCCTTTTAAAATATTAGATTATTTACGCGATAACGTGAGGGTGTCACAGAACAACATGCTTTAACAGTGTTGTCAAAATTTAAAAAGTTGACAACCATTATTTACCCATGCCATCAAGGTACACGGACTGGTCTCCAACCCGGGACTCGTTGACGAAGTACACGTTGCGACGAGAGTTTGGTACAGAGAACGCAATGTTGCCTGCAGCATGGAAGCTGCCCTCGAAGCCGAAGTCGACGCCATCATATTCTGAGAAGAAGAACCGAAAATAAGCAACCCAAATATTTGGTCCTCTTGTTATATAGCCCGAATTTTATTATCTTTCGCTCTATTTGTCTGAGGTTATTTGGATTAATATTTTTCTTAATTTCGAATAAATCTTTAATTTACTTTTAAAAAAATACGTACCAGGGGCATTGCATCTGCACAGCGACAGGCTGAAGTTGTAAGGCTCACAGGAAATTGGACCAAGAGGATCGTGGTTGGGATAATGGATAAAGAATTTGCTTGCCTCACCAATTACTGAGGACTTCATCAAACCGGCATCGTCAGTGCAGTTTTCTGTAAGTAACATTTATTATCTTTGAAATTGCAAGATTCATTATTCATAACATATACAGATAAACAGGTTTGCAAAAATTAACCAAAAGGCTATTTGTAGGAGAATGATATTTATCATGTATCTAGTGAGAATATACATTTTATCTTCTTAAGCCCAACAACTGAAAGCCAGT